CATTTGTCGTTGTGTCATTAATTAAGTGACTTGTTTTATTGACTAAAATTACATAAAATGCCTCGAATAAATCCTGAACAAGTAGCAAGATTAGTTGCGTTAGTAAACAATGGGCGTTACGCCGCTCGTGCAGTGGGAGTTCATGAAGAAACTGCTCGTAGAGCAATCCGCAAGTACGGACAAACAGGAAGCACCGCTCGGAGGGTCGGTTCTGGTCGCCCCCGAAAAACTTCTCCAAGTGATGATCGCTTCTTGAGATTGCGGATTTCACGGAATCGATCAAATACTGCGGTAAATGTTCAGCAAGATCTTCGCCAAATTCGTGATGTTGCAGTAAGTAAGCAGACGGTATGTAGACGTCTAGAAGAAGTTAATTCAAAAGCTAGGGAACCTGCAAAAGGTCCCAAATTATTGCCCGAATATCGTGCTGCTAGAAGAAATTTTGTTGAAAATTATGGACAGTGGAATATTCCTGAATGGTCTAATGTCTTGTTTACGGATGAGCCAAGGTTTTGCCTTAACATGGTGGATGGAAGAATAAGAGTGTGAGGAAGGATTTCAATGAATGGAAAGACACCCCTTCATGTTTTTCTGGTGAGGCAGTCGATGAATGCCCGAATTTACATTGACATTTTAGAGCAGTATGTCTTACATTATGCAGAGTAAGTGGGCAATAATTTCATATTGATGCAGGATAATGCCCGACCACACACCGCAGCAATAGGGCGAAACTTTTTAGAAGCTACTGGCATTACCACATTACAATGGCCTGCGAGAAGCCCCGATATGAATCCTATAGAACATTTGTGGGATGAATTAGGGAGAAGGGTACGTTCTCGCGAGAGGCCTCCGGAAAGTCTCGCAGAAATGGCAGATGCATTAGTGGAAGAATGGTATCGCATACCAAAGGAAACGATAAGCAACTTAATTTCCAGTATGCCTCGTAGATTAGAAGTTCTTAGAGTTGCTGGAGGAGGCAATACACGGTATTAAGCAGTCATCCCAATTTATAATTTGGTGTTTTTGATAAAAAATTTTTTTTAAATTATTGGTATCAGTTTATTTCATTTAAAAATTGTTTCTCGATAAATTGAGAACGTTGGTAATCTGCAAGGATTCAGCAAAGAAAGCTGTAATTCGAAAAATTTTAGAGATAAATCAATGAATAAAAAAACAAAATGCTCGCGAAAAAAGCCTCTTTCGTATAGGGTGCAAGCACTTTCTATGCCATTACTCAATTAACACACAGGGTGAGTCAGAAATTAAGAATTAATCATGGTTCGAGTTATTTCACCACCATCAAGGATGCTTTGAAAAAATTGTCACCTCTTCATTTTTTTTTAGACAAATGTACGCAAGCGTCTAGGGGTCACACATTTGAAATACTTTTTTTTTCAATATATTGAAAAAAAAATGCAAAATGTTGGAAAAAAAATCCAATATATTGAAAAAAAAATCCAATATATTGAAAAAAATCCAACATATTGGAAAAAAAATTCAATATATTGAAAAAAAAAATCAATATATCGAAAAAAAATACAATATATTGAAAAAAAATCCAACATATTGAAAAATGAATTCAATATGTTGAAAAAAAATCCAATATATTGAAAAAAAATCCAATAGGTTGAAAAAGAATACCAATATATTGTTTTTTGTTTTTCAATACATTGAAAATTTAATCTCAACGGCCAGGAAAGTTCCACGACTATAGAACCCCGCTGACGGTCGAAGTGTGCAAATCTGCCAGCGACAACCTATGTCGGCGACAACACAAAGCAAGGACTGAAAGACTCGAGCGGGGAATCACATAGTGACTAAAAAAATTCAACTACTTTCTACTTCCAAAAACTATTTTAGAGGCGGGTGAAATAGGAAAATAATGATAAAAAACTACTTCAATCTTTGTGCTTTTTCTCTCCATATCCACTACGATTTATTGCTATGTTATGCATAATATCTGAGATATAACAATATTTTTCCAAGAGGTGTAGATTTTCATAATTCTAGCAGATTATATTATCGAAAAATATACGTATGAAAAAGTAAATGTATTCTGCGTCACTACAAGTCCATTCTGTAAACATCTCTGGTGAATCCAACGATATCCGCATAATTGACCAGACGTCTTCAACTGAGCTTGGATGAAATCGATCACAGTCGATAATGCGGAGAAATTCCTTTTTCTATTCAATTTCATACTTCTCAGTTTACGTTTGAGTGTTGATAAACTCATTACCATATTATGTCTCAAATACAGAAAGGCTAGTATTTCTTCATAATGCATGCCACTCAGAAAATAATCCTTTATTATAAAATCAGTATGATTTCTTGAGACGTTTAGTAAATCTCCATCATTGTCCATTTCCGTATTGAGTCGTGGTAATAATATAATCAGTCAAAACGAGCAGAGCACTACTAATGCACTCTACTTTTCCTGGATTTGAATAAAGAAGAAAAATCCAATATATTGGATTTTTTTTCAATATATTGGATTTTTTTTCAATATATTGGATTTTTTTTCAATAGATTAGATTTTTTTTTCAATAAATTGGATTTTTTTTTCAATATATTGGATTTTTTTTTATTATATTAGATTTTTTTTCCAATATATTGGAAAAAAATATTCTAATTGTGTGACCCCTAGACGCTTTCGTACAAATGCATCACCTACCAACAAATAAAAAAAAATAAGAATCGGCCTACTATTTTTATTTTTTTTTTTTCGTAAGAAGATAGGTCAAATATCAAGTGCGTCACTTTTTTTGGAACTGAGTGTAGTCTGGGTATCCTAAGACTATGGAAGTCAGTTTGTCCTAATGTAGTGCGATCTAGCGGCGAAACGGAAAAAATCTTAATTTCGGTAAATTTTGCGTCCAATCATCATTTTCAGTCTAGGAAACTGCAGTTCTTTCATTCCCCTCCAAACTCGAAAAACATGTATATTCGGAAGTAGGCACCCACAAAGTGATTTTTTTTTGGGAAAATTGATGTTATGGAGACCTCGAAAGAAACGTTTGTACAACGAACAGTCCCAACATTGAATTCAAGTTGAGAACATTAGAATATAAAACGTCCATGGAAACGTTGGGAATCAGACATTGAAACACGTATGATTGTCGTGTTTCATGTTGGTAAATTTAACGTTTGATCATTCGTCTTTTCATACGTTTGAAACTGGAAAAATTCAAGTTGACTGTACATATTTCTCAATTGGTGTATGTGATATCATAAACGTATAGAAAACGTATGTATGTTCTTGGGATATATATGGCATTGTCGAATTTCAGAAATAGAATTAACATTCTGAAAGAGCTCGCAAGTTCACAGTACTACGAAAGGGCTTGGTAAAAGTGCACTCTCCGTTTCTAAATTCGATTGCCACGCCCCAAAATAGTGATGACGAACGAAAATTCTCGATAGAGTCAACTACCTAACTATGAAAATTCACCTGGAAATTTCATGGAAGTGATCCTGGCACCGTAATTGATCACCTGAACCTCGATCTTATTATTGTTCCTCCAAGTGAACCGTTTTATGTTATGGCAGTCCCCTTTTTGATCCCAGTACTGGCCGAAAACGTCTTCTGTTAACGTGAAGCCATCTGCAACCGAGATTTTGGTCACAACTTCGCGGTCTTTTGGCGAAATCGGCTCGTTGGTTGTTTCCTGCTGGGCCACATTGTCGATCCTCACGAGTTTTTCTGACAGGTTCTCCGAAAGCTTGCTTTGTTTGCTCTCGGTCGATTGCATTTCGCATTGGGAATTTAGCAAGGAGAAGATTGAAAGTTCAATCTGAATCAAGAAATTATGACATTTGGACAGTTCCTTCTGTACTTGACAATCTTGTTTTCAGCTCGTTTTGACGTTTTTGGTACGGACAGTTCCACACATATATCTACTATTTCCATATATGGCGCATCGCCTATACGATATCTCAACAAAAATGGGACCAAAATGAGAGGTACTTTTTGAATCTATAAGGACGGAGAGTAAAGGATGGAAACTGCTGACGTGAGAATCAGATTTTATGTTAGGTAAGGTTCGTAATAGTATATTACACACCGAGGTGGAAAGTGATTCATTCCTGTCGTGAGATTAGTTGTTGTTGTTGTTCTTTATAACCCCAAGAAACATATTTGTTTATAATAGGGATACATAAACATATGATATACAGGGTCGCTGATATGTATGGAAACAGGTGAATATCTTTGTAACATGTTGTTGGATTTTTTCGAATTTATGTACAGTGTGATTTCAAAACGTGGCGGATTTGGAAATGTTATAGCCAATGTTGCCACTTTTTCAGTTATTCCGGATTTTTTATTAACTTCCTTATTTTGAATGAAACGCCCAGAACTTTATTGAATTTTCAGATTCTCCTTGAAGAGCTGATTCCATCGATCTATCACACTTGGGGGTCTAGCGGAAATGATGACATAGGTATAGGGTGTTTAAAATCTAGATTTCTCAACTTTAGGATTTTTTGTGTCGAAACTATCCATTATCGATCGAAACCGCTCCAATGTTCCTATATTTTTTTCTTGATTTACAATTTACTGACATTTAATTGGAACAAATACAGGGTGGTTCAAGATTCAGAATTCTGATCACCCTCTGTATCTGTCCCATTTAAATGTCAGTAGATAGTAAATCAAAAGTGAAGATAGGAATATTAGAGCGGTTTTGATCGATAATGGATAGTTTCGATACAAAAAAATCCTGAAGTTGAAAAATCTAGATTTTAAACACCCTATACCTATGTATTCATTCCCGCTAGACCCCAAGTGTGATAGATCGATGGAATCAGCTCTTCAAGAAGTATCTGAAAATCCAATAAAGTACAGGGTGTTTTTTTCAAAATGAGGAAATTAATAAAATTCCGGAATAACTGAAGAAGTGGCAACATTGGCTATAACACTTTCAAATCCGCCACATTTTGAAATCACACTGCACATAAATTCGAAAAAATCCAACGACTGGTTACCGAGATATTCACATGTTTCCATACAAATCAGTGTGTCAAAATAGGGGGGTAGGGGGTAAAAATAACCCCAACTTTTTTGTTTATCGCAATTTCAGTTTTTTTACATGAAATTATGAAATCTCAGTGCTATCAACATAGAAAAGTAGCTCTCGTTGAATCACGATAAAATGAACCATTAGCGAATAAAATTCATTTTTTGAAGATTTCATTTAAATTGCAATTTTGGTATGCACGTAAGTTTAATTATCTAGTTCAAATCTTGCAACTGAATTTTCACCTACTTCTACAACTTGGAATCTGGCAGATGACAGTTGACAACGGGTTATGGACTTTTTGATAGAAAAAAATATGGCGGCTCCAATGTGGCTGACCAGATTTGTGATAATGGTCCGCGTTTCAAAATTGGTTTGTAAGGGTTTTTGGGGTTGGAAATTTTGAATTCGTTGTCGGAATTCATGAATTAAAAAATAGACTACGAGTTTCGTGATTATGATCCGATTGATAATACTAAAATACTTACTTACTTACTAACTTTAAATATTGAAATGAAAAATAAGATGAAATGAGGTGAAAAAACACAAGCCTTTATTCAAATGCTCTGAAAATGAGCGAATGAATAGGATCAGTTCATAATAACAAAACTCGTCGGCTATTTTGATTTCATGAATTCCGACACCAAATTCTAAATTTCCAAAAACCCTCACATACCAATTTTGAATCGAATCGAACCATAATCACAAATCTGGTCAGCCACATTGGAGCCGCCATAACGCATTGTCAACTGTCATCTGCCAGATTCTAAGTTGATCAGACGATTAGAAGTAGGTGAAAATTCAGTTGCGAGATTTGACCTAGATAATTAAACTTAAGTACATACCAAAATCGCAATTTAAATGAAATCTTGAAAAAATAAATTTTATTCGCTAATAGTTCATTTTATCGAGATGCAACAAGAGCACCTTTTCTATGAAAATAGCCCTGAGATTTCATAATTTCATGTCAAAAAACTTAAATAGCGATGAACAAAAAAGTTGGGGTTATTTTTACCCCCTACCTCTCCATTTTGACACACCCCTGTATTTAATTTTGAGATGATTTTAACTCCATTCGAACCGGCACTGAATAGTAAGTGGATGGACAACATTTCTGATTTCCATTATACAACGTGTTGGAGATAATAATACAAAATCATTCTCCCTTTGAGGGGCTGTATCTTTCTTAGGGGTCACTTCAGAAAAAAATTGTTCGGAGGATTTCGTAACTATTTCACCCACTCTATATGCTCCCAAAGTTTGACCACCTAATTTAGAATCACCTTGTATATATATATATATATATATTAAACAATAAAAAAAACGAATTAAAAAATTATGTCAATATAACATAATGATTAAAATCAAATCATTCCAAGTATTCAAATGAGAATGAATTGCTCCGTTTATGGTGTCATGAGTATATATTTTTTCATATTGACTTTGAGGTAATGAATTATATGAAATGATTCCGTTGTAGAATACTGATTGTTTGCCAATGATGGAGTTATATGGGTTTGCTATTAATGTATTCAACTGTCTCGTTGCATGAGTATGAATTGTATTTACTTCAGTGAAGTTCAAGTTGGATATTTTTATTTTTTTTTCTCACAAAATGGATGAAACAACAAATTTTCATTTTATATAAAGATGATAAATTCAACAGATTTTTTGGTTTGTAAAGATTAATAGTTGGTTCCAGGTAATGTAAATTGTAAATGCACTCAATTGTTTCATTTTGTAATTTCATTAATGGTTTCAAATGTGATATACTAGTGCTTCCCCAAATTGATATTAAATATTGTAATCTTCAGTGAATCAGACAGAAATATATATTCTTCAAGTATCTAAGAAGAATGAAATTTCGAATTTTGTATGAAATGCCAGTAATTGGATTCAGCTTTTTTCTCAGGTGATCTATATGTTTAGTCCACGATAATTGTTCATCAATATAAAGTCCTAAGAATTTTGTAACATCTAAATATTGTATGGCTTTCTGGTTGAAAAATATTGTTGTTTTCGCCATATCAGTTTTTTTTTTAAATAAACATATACGTAGATTTGGCATAGTTAAGAGTCAGCTTATGAATTTGTAGCCAAGATGATATCATTTTCAAGTAACTTTTTATATCATCAACTATATCGTCAAATTCTTCAGAAGAATAGATTATTGTAGTATCATCTGCAAATAAAACTTCAGATCTCCTTTTAGTTTCAAAGATGATATCTAATTGATGTAGATCGTAGATTGTAGATGGGTCGTATAGGCTGGGAGACCTCTCGATCACTGCGACCTAGAAGATCTATTGTGATTACCCCTATCTAGTTTTGGTCCTCTAACCCTAGACTCCTGATGAAGCCTACGATTTTCCTGACGGTTGAATTTTCCACTTCAGCAGGGGTGAGATATACCTGTTCTAGGTGGTTCAGCCTTTGGCGGACTAATACTTCACATGAGCAAAGTATGTGTTCCGCGGTCTCGGTCGCATTGTTACAGAAGCGGCAAATGTCCGTCTCCGCCAGGCAGATCTTTTTGAGGTGGTACCTCAGAGGGTCGTGTCCTGTGAGAAAGCCTGTGATAAGCTTTAGCTCTGATTTGCTCAGGCTGAGTAGCTCTTTGGCTCGGTTCTGCGAATGGTTGATGAACCTTTTCGCTTGTCGTTGACCCAGAGTTGCTCTCCAGTAGGAAGACTTTTCGATTTCTTCCCATTTCCTGAGTTCTCCCTTCAGGTGACATCTGCTTATTCCACAAGAAGGCTCAGGCTCAAGGCGATCAGCTGCCTCATTTCCTTTGATTCCTTCATGCCCTGGAACCCACATAAGTGTAACTTTGTTGCCCTCTCCCAGTTGCATAAGTGTTTCAAAGCAGTACCATGTGATCTTTGATGTGAAAATAAATGATTTTAGGGCTTTTAGTGCGGCTTGGCTGTCTGAGCAGATATATATGTTGGCACCCCTCAGACCTTTGCTCAGGCTCCTTTGGGCGCAGAGGTTGATGGCATGTATTTCAGCTTGGAAGATAGTGGGGAAGTGACCTGAGACTCCAAATAGCCTACATCTGGGTCCATATACACCTGCGCCTACCCCTTCTTCCATTTTCGTACCCTCTGTCCAGCTGAGGCTCAGCGGAACCGAACCTAGGGCGGCTTTTCATAACCACTTCAAAAGTATGATCGAAACTGAGCCTGGCTGGCATTATGTCCGATGGTTTGGTTGCAGATTCCATTTGTACTTCTTGTAGAATGACCATGTGACCAATGACATCACCTGGTCTGGCCAATTCAGTGGAGTTCAGTCTGTATGCACAGAGAGCTGCAGTCCTCTTGATAAAAATATGCAAGGGTAGTAGGTCAAGCATAGCTTCCATTGCTGCAATAGGGCACACACGCATAGCCCCTGTGATCCCAAGACACGCGAGTCTCTGGATTTTTTGCAGCTTAAGTTGTGCTGTTTTTTCCTTACTTTTGGTCCACCACACTAGAGAAGCGTATGTGACCATGGGTCTGACCACCGTGAAATAAGACCAGTAGATCATAGGTTTAAGACCCCACGTTTGGCCAACCATCTTTCGGCATATCCAGAGAGCTGAAATCGCCCTATTGAAGATTTTGGTCAAGTGTGAGTTTGTTGTCTAGGATTGCTCCTAGATATTTGACCTCTTCGGAGAAATTGATAGGCGTCCCATCCATAATGGGTTCCTTTAACTTGATCTCCCTCCTTTTGGTGAATGGAACGATGACTGTTTTGCTTGGGTTGACATTCAAGCCCTTCTGAAAGCA